AAAAAAAAAAAAAAAAAAAAAAAAGCAGCAGCAAAATCGGATACATTTAAGAAGATTAACAAGGTAACACAACTGTTTTAAGATTTTTCCCTACCTTAAACTGGAATGGTTCTGCCAGATTCTCTTGTAGATATTAATCCACAAACCAAAAGCTCCCCTTTAAAAGCCCTCCTCTCCCCCCCAAAAAGCGTAATGATACATGGATACACAAAAAAGAAAAACAAAAGGAGGAATCAATATAGTTTCTTTTTTAATGGAATAAAAAAGAAAAAGAAAAAAAAAAGGAGAGAAAAAATACAGCAAAATAACTACAAACCTTTGACCACAACATTTACTAATTCCATAATCCAATTTCAAGATTTTAAATATCAAGTTATCTGAACTGGCATCGCCTCTTATAGAAACACGAAAAATAACTAAATTATAGGTTCAAGATAATTCTTGTCACACAACAGAGAAGGTCTTCAGAATGGAGAGTTAAAGAAGCAATCTTGAAGAGAAAATCTACTACAGCCAAGAATGATTTCCAAATGAACACCACACGCCTAAGATCTTTTAAATGATTTTTTTTCCCATTTTTGTTCCTCTTTAAAACAGTGACACAAAAATTCATCACCTGAGAAATGTGAAGTCATAAAAAAAGAATGCTAGGAAATTTCATCTCTATTTATACCTACAACCAGGGAGGGGGGAAATAATGATAATAAAAAATAAATAAAGTCAAGTATCCCAATCAACAAGAGTGTAACAGCTACTTTGGACTTGCTGTAGAACACAAGGAACAGGAGAAGCGCAGTCCTTACCTCGACCGTCTTCCCCCACCACCACCACGTCTGGGAGGGGAATGGAAGCGGTCGCGTCGAGAGCGTCCCGTTGACATTTCGACTTTGACGCGAACACCACACATGCGTCTGTAGAGAAGGGAAATGAAAATGAGGATGGTGTGTGTGTGCCTGTGTGTGTGTGTGTGTGTGTTGTGTGTGTGTGTGTGTGTGTGCCTGTGTGTGTGTGTGTGTGTGTGCCTGTGTGTGTGTGTGTTGTGTGTGTGTGTGTGCCTGTGTGTGTGTGTGTGTTGTGTGTGTGTGTGTGGTGTGTGTGTGTGTGTTGTGTGTGTGTGTGTGGTGTGTGTGTGTGTGGTGTGTGTGTGTGTGGTGTGTGTGTGTGTGGTGTGTGTGTGTGTGTGCCTGTGTGTGTGTGTGTGTGCCTGTGTGTGTGTGTGTTGTGTGTGTGTGTGTGTGTGTGGTGTGTGTGTGTGTGTTGTGTGTGTGTGTGTTGTGTGTGTGTGTGTTGTGTGTGTGTGTGCCTGTGTGTGTGTGTGTGGTGTGTGTGTGTGTGCCTGTGTGTGTGTGTGTGGTGTGTGTGTGTGTGCCTGTGTGTGTGTGTGTGTGTGCCTGTGTGTGTGTGTGTGCCTGTGTGTGTGTGTGTGGTGTGTGTGTGTGTGGTGTGTGTGTGTGTGGTGTGTGTGTGTGTGTTGTGTGTGTGTGTGTGGTGTGTGTGTGTGTGTGTGTTGTGTGTGTGTGTGTGTGTTGTGTGTGTGTGTGTGGTGTGTGTGTGTGTGCCTGTGTGTGTGTGTGTTGTGTGTGTGTGTGCCTGTGTGTGTGTGTGTTGTGTGTGTGTGTGTGTTGTGTGTGTGTGTGTGCCTGTGTGTGTGTGTGTGGTGTGTGTGTGTGTGTGTGGTGTGTGTGTGTGTGTTGTGTGTGTGTGTGTGTGTGTGCCTGTGTGTGTGTGTGTGTTGTGTGTGTGTGTGTGTGTGGTGTGTGTGTGTGTGCCTGTGTGTGTGTGTGTGTGTGTGCCTGTGTGTGTGTGTGTTGTGTGTGTGTGTGTGCCTGTGTGTGTGTGTGTGCCTGTGTGTGTGTGTGTGCCTGTGTGTGTGTGTGTGCCTGTGTGTGTGTGTGTGTGTTGTGTGTGTGTGTGTGGTGTGTGTGTGTGTGTTGTGTGTGTGTCCCTATATGACCTATTATATATGTTTGTGTGTGTGTGTATGTGTGTGTGTGTGTGTGTGTGTGTGTGCGCACATATGAGTGTGTGTGAGCATGCTTGTGTATGTCTGCATGTGGTTGTGTGTCTGTGTGTAGTTATGTGTGGTGTATATACAGATGATGTATTAGAATGGTGCCATACATAATGAAGGACCCATAAAAATGCTATATGTGGAGTATTTTCACCAAGTGCTAATGAAATAGGGGACCAGCACAGTATCTTCATAGAGCCGAATGACAAAGAAAAGGGAAAAACTAAGACAACTTGTCATACTCACGTTCCATCCAAGGCACGCACTGCATCTTCTGCATCCCGAGGATCCTCAAACTCCACAAAGGCAAAGCCTGGTGGATTCCTTGCGACCCATACATTTACAAGGGGCCCATACTTGGAGAAGGCCGATTCCAATTCATGTTTGGCTTCAGTGTTGCCAAGATTGCCTACGTACACCTTGCAGTCAGTCCTCATCCTTCTACTATCAAATGTTCAGAATTCTGAAGAGCAGACAATACTTTTATAAATACCCAAGTATATATGCACATCATATGCTTAAGATGAGCTGTCATCACTGCTATAACAGATTACAGTGAATGCCAACTATTGAAAATAAATAAAAGGTTGGGCTTATGAAGTTGCGAGATGAAAGATGACAAAATGAGATGTAAATGATATGAGACACAGAATCAAGTACTAATGTTTTTTTTCCATTCATTTGGATATTTTTACATTGGTATTCACTCACTCTCAAACATTTAAAACATACAAACAGTACACAAATAACTATATCTGCTTTTACAAAATGGAAAGATATTCTTGCCAAATCAAACCAATTTTACCGAGTGTTATATCTTTGTATTATTCACACCTACAACAGAAATGTGTGTGCGTGCGTATGTGCGTGTGTTTATAATTATAAAAACACTAAGTTATTGATAAGAATAGCTTTCATACAACATATACGAATGCATTCTGGAACATCAATCACTATGTCCTTCAGTGGAACTTCCAGAGCATGACCATCTCCACAACAGCTATGATATAAGCAAAACAAATCAAAATAGATGTAAATGAGCAAACTATACCTATAGAATGTCTGCCCATTTTCCATATCTTACCAACCACTATACAAGAGAGCAGGCACCAAGGTCACACTGAATCGCTTTCATCAAAATTTCTCCTGAGTAGTTTTATTTTTTTTTTCCAGAAGACACATTAAACAGACTTTTTGATTACCTTTCTGTGAGGAAGAATAGGGCATGGTAGCTGCCAGAGAGAGGTGACAGGGATGATCTGCTGTATCTCTTGGTGGATACTTGTATTGGTCAATTTGACATTGCGTCCTTCCATGATATGTTCCAATTTGATTCTCAAACAAAAATACAAAAATTTAGTAAGGATCTTTTATGTATTTATTTATTTTTTTTACTTCCTGATACAAATGTCTTATGGGACACTTGAGACTGCTATCATAATAAACAGTAAAACATTTTAATATATAGATATATGTACATTTGATTACAAGGTCAAATGTGAGAAACTGTATTATAAAAAATATCATTTCATACACTTTTACCTCACAAATGGCTTCAGTCATGTATGACCTTACAATATAACATATCAAAATATAATCAGGAACATAAACGGACCATATAGAAACCTCTCACTTTAATCAATTGTTTTTATATGCATTAGAATTATTTTTCTTTATTCTAATTGAACTGAATATATGTACCAAGTGTAACATTTACATGATTCAAATCTAATTAGTAATTTGGAGATATCTAGAACATTTTTGTTATCTTGAGAACCGTCTTATGCAGACAATAATATAGGTTGCATATGCAAATCACCATCTCAAGTTATTCTAATACTTAAAACATGGTAGAACTTCTCTTAACTCTGATATCTAATAATTTCACATTAGTACTTAAAATTCCCAAGAACACCTGGTACACATTTACAACACTAATTAAGTCTAAACCTATTCATTAATCCAGAATATTCAACACTAATTCTGAACATACCCAATCTTATTGAAAGATACATAATTCTCTAATACCATTACTTTCTTTTGAGCTTTTGTCCTTGTATTACTCCCATCATTCCTAACAAATCTACCCCTTATTACACGTCTTACTGTTACTAACTTGTTCACATGATACATGACCCATTTCACATATCCTACTTTCACGGCTAATTTCTCGCATTTCAGTCTAAACTTATGAACTTCTTTTGATCATGTCCAACTTTCCCTTTTCTCCCACTGTTATGCTTTCTACTTTACTATGCCATTTAAATGTAAACTAAAATGTTTACCATGTGAATAGGATATTATTTGTAAATATAACATTGCAGCTAAAAATATATAAATCATATCTTGAGCTGAGAAGCTTCACAAATTTCCTGGCACAAACAACTGGATCAGAGAGTGCAGAATGTTAATGTAAGCAAGAACAAACAATTGGTGTAATAAACAAGCATATTTTTCTTTTATCTACTCAGGCTATATAGACTAATGAAAATGTGGGGTAATAGAAAGGGACATTGTAATTTTCAATTTATAAATGATTTATGAAAATCTTAGGTTCATCTTTACTAGATTTTCAATCAAGTTTTTAGAACCAACAAACATCTACCACAAGTAATCTGGCAAGGGAATGCTAGGACTGACTCCTTATTTAACAATAAATCACCTGGAAGCTCTAGAAGCTTTATCTTGCCAGTATATACATGGTAGAATTTGTTAACATTCTTGGTTGGAGCATAAAGCACAGATGTCAACACTGTTTGACAAGCAAATCCATGGATAAGTGATTGCAAACCAAGCTTTACATTGTGAGATCATATCTTACACTTAACACAGATAGCATTGAAAATATACAAAAAAATGAGATTATCTGTTAAAAAAAAAGCAGCAGCAGCTGCAGGAAAATCAGAATCACTTGCTCAAATTGGCAAGTCACTGGTGTTGCAGGTTAAAGCTATCACGTATATAATAAGAAGCAGCAGGACCCTAACTATTCCTATTTTTTTTTTTTTTTTGGGGGGGTGGGGGTGGGGGATCCAACATCTACCTTATTTATGTTGAACTATTAGATATAATAATCTCATGACTTCAGCCCTTTGTTCTTAAACACATATACAGTAGTAACTAATTACTAACCTTCCTAAGCAATTCAGAACCAGGTTCATATGTGAGAGAGATTTGCTGATCTTTGTTGAAGTGCAAAGCATCACTTCTGCATACAATTCTATTCAGAACACTTATGCATCAATCCAGCCATTTAAAATAGTGCTCCAACAATAATAATTCTGACTCATTAATGCAACTTGGGATTACTCTGAACACCTCTTGACAACTTACCTCAGCAATTTTCCTCGTCTTCAACTCCAAAGACTGTGCCACTTTAAGGCTTTATCTAACTTTGCATCTCCGTTATTAGCAGTTTATTAAAGTTTAACGTAGTTTTGACTCTCGTGTATGAAATGTTTAAAGAGGCCTTATTAGGTGCTAATATGACCAGTTTAGAAAGAGGCATGAAAGGAAAGATAGACTTAGAAGCAACACTATCTATTACTAACATTTCTTCCATAAATCTTGTATGTCATTGTGTTGGTTGCTATTTTTTTTAAGTTTCACACAGCCATCAACATTATTCCTTGTTTCAATTATTCATAGTGTAATGTGCATGACTCTCTTGCTCTTTTCCATCAAATATTATATATAAAAGTAATTATTTACAGCTGTTCATGAAGAGACCACTCTCCGGGACTAAGTCCCTATTACTCCTGCCACTTCCAGGAATCAACAAATCACCGTGTGAACCAAGAACCTTTCTTACGCAGAGGCTTCCCCTCTAGACCCCCAACCAATCACTATTTCCCTATTGGGAGCTTTGCCCCTGGAACCCCACCTAATCACTGTGGACTTACTCTCTATACAGCATTTGTTGCAACTTTATTTTCTTTGTTTTTGAGGTTATTCTTTGGCTGCAAAGATGATTTCCTCTATCATTTAGAATAGTTTTTTCTTTCCTGTAAACTTATACCAAAGTATTACATACCGAGTATTTGTTAAGAAGAGTGATGCACCCTTCGGAGAAAACATCATCAAAAACTGTGTGAGGGTAGTGATATGCAGCAAACATTTATGTCATTTCATTGTACATATGAAGTCGCAACAGCTATATCTATGTTATATATGAATATTTCTAATACTCTATAAGTTGGTGGTGTCCATTTCACTATCTCTGTGTCGCTCTCGGTAAGATAAACCACAAGTTGCACTATTTTCTTATTATCAACTTGCAAAAGGAAATACAATATTTGTTACCAAGAGCAAAGCACCCTCCAGAGATGAAGTCCCAAAACCACTTTGTGCCAACTTAGAGAACAGACATTAACAACTCTGACTGTGTAAGGGTGTTGTGGACTTAGTCTGAGCAGTGATATGCAGCAGATATTTCCATCATCTCCCAGTAAACATGAAGCTATTACAGCTGTACATGTATTGTTTGTAACTATTGTTTGCTGTATAAGATGGCCGTGTACATTTCCCTCTATCTCTGTTTCATTCTTGGTAACATTATCCAGAAATACCATAGCTGAAAAGGATCTTATTTCCTATTGTTGTGTCCATTTAAAGCAAAGTTCCCTTGTGTTATACAACTATAAACATTAAACTTGAATATACTAGACAACTGCTGGCATTCCAGCAAAAAATAAAAACCACATGCTGATATACTAAAATACAGTTTGTAGTACTCCCTCCAAATTGATCATCAAATAAGGAACCTGCTCAAGCCAGATTATCTGTGGCAAAGGTTTGTTGCCTTTCCTTTAACGCAGGAGGTTGTGTTGATAGCTTAGCACCAGAACCATATGCTGAATTTACTTGACTATGCTAACCTTCACATATTGCAGCAATATTTCAAGAGGCTTTAGCATGACCATATACAATATAATTATGAAATAAAAGTTCTATTCTGAAAGTTACTGCAGCAGTTATCTAGAGATTTACCTCACTGCTATGTAAGCCTACTGAAGCTGACTGGTTTATTGGGAACCTGCCACTGATTACTTTGGCAAAAATACAAGGCAAGCCAGTTTTTTTTCCCCTCTAGCAATAAACCCTTTGAACGGCACCCGAAACTTGCTATTTTTAGTCCTCACAGAGGCAATACATATATCCCAAGCCTTCAAAAATAAAGAAATCATAAGCATTACCTTGTAAGCAAACAAGCGTCCACCAAAGCCAAGCTCAGCGGGGACGACCAAGCCAGCCCTGCCTAGCCTTCCCTCAACTCAAACTCGTCTACCAAGATCCATTAACGATTTTCTCTACGAAAATTTTCACACACTACCAAGTATTACCGTATATGTGCAAACATTTCCTTACCGAGTAATCACGAATCTGCGTTGGAAAATAAATTGTAAACTCCCTAAAATCCCTACAGCACGCCTTCACGGTTTACACACACACAAATTACTATAAATACCCGGTGGTTGACTACATGAACA